GTTTTTCGAGACAGGGTTTCTTTATGTAGCTTTGGCTGACCTGGACTGACTTTGTAGACCAGGCTGGAGAAATGTAGTCGTTAGTGAGCCATATTGCTATGCAGATGAAGTATCTAAACATTTAAAATATTACTGAGAGGTCAGGCTTGTTGGCATGTGTCTTTAATCCCACCCTTGGGGAAGCTGAGGCAGATAGATCTTTGTGAATTAGAGGTCAGCCTGGTCTACCTATTGAGTTCTAGGACAGTCAGGGTTTCAAAAAAAAGACTTTACTTCAAAAATGTTTTACACACACACACATTCATACACATGTGCACTCACACACACTCATACTCAGACACACACTCACACACACATACACACCCATTCGCACACTCATACACTCACAATCAAATGCATACATTCACACATTCAGACACAGACACATACACATACTCATACACTCACACACAGTCACAAACATGCACACCCTCACACATACACATACTCATGCACATATGTATTTCTGAGAAAGCTTATACTTTTCCTGTTCTGGAATTGCCTTCAAGGCCTTGTGGTAAGCTGATTTCTAGTGGTTGGCCCTAGTTAGGACACTTGCTAATCTCTCTACCTCTGTCCTTATGGATAACCCTAGGATTCCCTTATGGTTTGGGAATGTATAGCTTTGTGATGCTTAAGATTTCAAAGGTTTAAGATTTAATTTCAGGGTGTGCTTTTAGGTGGATGATGAAGATTTACAAGATGAACCACTGCAGATCACAGTTCTTGACCACGATACATACAGTGCAAATGATGCTATTGGCAAGGTGTACATTGACATCGACCCTTTACTGTACAGTGAAGCTGCCACCGTCATCTCAGGATGGTTCCCAATTTATGACACCATACATGGTAAGGAGCAGTGGCGGAAGAAAATGAAATGCAGCCTTGATCTTCTCTGTTTTTCTCAAGGACGTTTGTACTATGCTGTGCTATTTAAAATAATAGCTCTAAAAGACACCTTGAAATAAGACAAGGAGCCAAGTGTTGCTGAAAGAATCACCATCTCTCTGAATGGTTGAAATGCCTGCTGACTCCATGCGACAAAGGAAAGGTGTTATTTAAAAGCTGTCTTGGGGAGTAGGTTTTGGCTCTGGTGAAGCATTTTCTCGCCAACTTTATACTCTGGGATGGTTTCTGTCACAGATAGAATAGCAAGTCACAGGTATTTTTGGTCACAGGGCCCCTACAATCTAAAAATTGTTTTTTTTTCTATTACAAAAGAAAGAAAAAAAAGGAAAATACAGAATAACATATAGGTATTTTATATTTTTAAAATATGTTTTTTTAACTGATTAATACTGGTGTTTCTTTTCTAAAAAGTGCCTCAAGCCTCTTTTTAGTTTAAAGCGGAGTCTTAGCCTTATACATGCCTTTAGTTCCAGTACTTGTGGGGCTAAGTAGTCCAAGAAGTGCTGTTGTGAGTTTTGTGAGTTAAGAGCTATTTTCTCTACAGTGCTCATGCCGTTTGCAGCTTTTCTTCAGTGTCTCGCAGTGCGTAATGTTTTAGAGGAGCGTCTACAGCATGTGGTAGAGCACAGGTCAGACTCCTTGATAGGACATTGGAGAGATTGGCAGAAATGTCATAGTGTTGGCCTTTGTTTTGGAAAATAACTTTTTATTAAAAAGTTCGTGTTTATTTATTATGAGTAAATAAAACAATGAATTTTTAAAAAATTGGCAACCTTAATTATTGTGGTACATATTGATAGATAATGACCTTTATAAAATTTTCTTGAAGTTCTCAATTATTTTCAGATTGTAGGGGTCCTGTGACCAAAAAAATCTGAGACTTGCTATTCTAACCGTAGAGCTGCCTTTGAGGGTTTGTCCCTGCTCAGGATTGACACATATGTCCCCAGCCTTTCTTCTGCCTTGGTTGTTTTTCTGACCTGGCAGTTCCACTGATGGATTAATGGCAATAAAGAAGTGAGATGATTGTAATAAAGCAAGATGCTTGCTGAGGGATGTGGGTAAATTCATTGTCACTTTATCTATATCCTGTTACTTACAAACATTCAAAATGATAAAACAAATTGAGAAATAGAGTTTTAAAATAGATTAGATCCTATCATAGGTTCTCTTTTATAGTCAAAAGAAAATGAAGAAGTTTTCAGAAAATAGTGAAACAGGTAGACCAATGTGACATACTATAAGTTGCATTCATCTCAAAGTTGTTGAAATAAAGGAATTTTAATGTGTAATATCATTGGAAAATTTGGTAGGTATGATAAGATGCTTATGTTTACATAGTTCCATTTCTGGATTATAACTGATTCCCTCTCCTCCCCTCACCCTCTGTTTTCTGCAGTGTACGTATTATATATTTCCTTTATAGTCAGGAAGGAAATACAATCAAATGCTATGCTGCAGAGTGTAAAGAGATGGTTTAGTAGGCAAAGTGCTTGCTGTGTAAGCATGAGGACTTGAGTTTGGTCCTCAGACACTACATGAAGCAGTGTGCACAAGCACTGAGGGGATAAACAGGAGAACCCTGGATCTGGCAGGTATTCGAGCCAAATCAGTGAGCTCAAGTGAGATCCTGGGTCTCAAAGAGAGAAGTGGGTGGGGAGGTGGCTCAGTCCTCATTGCTGAACAAGAGCAAGAGCATGTTTTTGATTCCCTGGCACCATGGAAAAACATGGCAGCGTCTACAATCCTAGAATTGGAGAGGTAGACCCAGTAAATCCCGGAGCTTACTGACCAGTCAGTGATGTTACAGAACTAGGTATGAGCCTGGATGAAAAGCAATAAATAGCTATATGCATGGGATAATTTCAACATTCCTCCCCCGCCAACCTTTTTTTTTTTTTTTTTTTTGGAGACAGAGTTTCTCTGTGTAGTCCTAGTTGTCCTGGAACTCGCTCTGTAGACCAGGCTGACTTTGAACTCAGAGATTTGCCTACCTCTTCCTCTCAAGTGTGCCACCACCCAGCTAGTTTCCCAGCATTTAACATTAAAGCTTGTTTGTGATTGGCTTTATATGAGCTGTGTTCGAAATATCTCTTCTTGTTTCAGTAAATTAGTAAAGGCTTTTCTTTATTTTGTTTGTTTGTTTGTTTGTGACAGAGTGTAGCCATGCTGTCCTGGACTTGATTTGTAGACCAGGCTGGCTTTGAACCCACAGAGATCTGCCTGCCTCTTCCTCTCCGAGTGCTGGGATTAAAGGATTGGGCCACCACACCCGGCTAGCAAAGGCTTTTCTTAAAAGGCCTCCCTCCATCAGTGAGTTGGTAAGAGGTGAAGACACTAAGGCAGAGGTGTTTAGCAGGTGTTTAACAGTAAGGGCAAGGCCATTCCTTTTTATTGCAGCACGCTCTGAAAGCCACCTGGATAAGCTTTCTCATGTTATGTGGATTAGGGGTATATTCTTGCTGTCATAGAGAACTGGCTTTTGATTCTTGCCCTTTCACTTAGTTACCTACACTGTAACTTAGTTAACTTTAATTAAATACTAATTTCTACTGTAAAATGAGGATGGTGCTACATTACTAGGTTGATGTGAGCACAGTGAGCATGTAGTGGGGCGTCTCCTAGGGCTCAGCAATCTTTCCAGCACTGCGCTCATCCATTAGAGTGGGCCTTCTTTCAGGCAGGCTTGGCTCACGTGGACAAGCTGTCAGGTAAGAGTGGGCACAGTGCTGCTCTCAGGCTGTCTCAGGCTCAGCTTTGGTGGACCAAGGGACCTACTGCAGGGAGACTTTCTAGGAAGCAAGCCTGAAGATCAGGAAGTGCATCTGTCTGCATCAACTTAGAAACTTGATTTTCTTTTTAAATTGTAGGTATCCGTGGAGAAATCAATGTTGTTGTCAAAGTAGACCTTTTCAATGATTTAAACAGATTTAGACAGTCATCATGTGGAGTTAAATTCTTTTGCAGTAAGTAAACACATTGTCTTGTTTAACAAGAAAATTTAATAGCTTTAAATATGGAAAACTAATACTTAGAAAGATTAATGGAAAAAGTGTTAGAGTTAGTTTTAATATGAGAAAGAAAAATGTTAAATTTCTAGATAAAGTCACTGCAGCTCTGTGACCATTTATTTTGTTGTAGAGTAAATGGCATCTTAAGTTTTACAAGTTTTTGGAAATTTTTGTTAGAAAAATACTGAGGCATTTTGCTGTAGTGTTGAATGCTGAATGAGGGGAGCAGAACTGTGGCACAGTTTGCAGCCTCAGTGGCGTGTGTCCACAGCACACAGCCTGTACCCGTGAGGCCCCAGGACAGTGGCGTGCATGGGTCTGCGCTGGCAGCTCCACACCTGTCAAGGGTGGAGCATCCCCAAGTAGTCATCAGCAGCATGAAAACATTTCTTGAGAGACTTGTGTGGCTGCTCCCCTTTTGAGTCTGACTAGATCCTACTTAAATCCAGTGGTGCATTTATTTCAGTGAGTCTCAGATGGATACTAGCACTGTGACTATGGTACTGTGGATGCTTTTAGGAGCTGCAGGGCTGTGGGACGCCTCAGCATGTTCAGAAAGGGGCAGCAGTGTGAGACGAAATGACGTTCAGCCGGAAAACTTTCATTGTGTTTTTATAAACTTTAATTTGTTTTTAACTGGTACAGATTCATATGGTACTATGTAATATTTTGATTTTCTGTTTAATACCTAGAGGTATTCTCTGCATCATGAAAGTACAGTTTATATTTGCTATTCTTATGTGAGAAAAGTGAAAGCCTGCATGACAAGAAATTATTTTTAGGATAAAACATCTAAAAGGTTCTTAGAGAGCTGTTACAATTGTGTTGAGGTTGTATAGTAGATATTCTTGAATTATATATTTAAAACATAAAAACTAGATGGATGGATAGTTTTTTCTTCTTTTGTTTAGATATATATTTTATAAAAATTGAAGTTTGGCTTTGTGATTATTAAAGGATAATAAGTACTTTGTTTTAACAGCAACATCTATTCCAAAGTGCTACAGAGCTGTGGTAATCCATGGATTTGTAGAAGAACTTGTGGTCAATGAAGACCCCGAATATCAGTGGATTGATCGAATCCGCACACCAAGGGCGTCAAATGAAGCCAGACAGAGGCTGATTTCTTTAATGTCAGGTATATTCTATTTATTGTTGATTGACTTTCTTTTCATTTGTCTTCTACAGGGCACATGAGCTTTCGCAGCAAAGGCTGCTATTTTAAATGCTGATTTCCTTACCCTAGAGCATGCCATCAAACAACTGAACACTTCTAACAAGTGGAGATATGAATTAGATGTATGAGTTCACGCCTGTGTGTTTAAATAAGATGTGTGAATTCACTCAAGTATATGTGTGTGCATGTGAACACAGGTATGTGCATGGTTGTGGAGGACAGAGAAAAACCTCAGGTATCATATCAAGCACTGTCTACTTAAGAAAAATATTTGAGAAGGAGGTAGAGACAGCTGGATCTTTGTGAGTTCAAGGCCAGCTTGGTCTACAAAGTGAGTCCAGGATAGCCATGGCCACCCAGAGACACCCTGTTTAAAACAGGGTCTGGAACTCACTAGGCTTGTAGTTTGGTTGGCTAGTTGATCTCTAGGAATCTACCTTCTAAGCGTTTTGATAACAAATGTGAGCCACTTTTTTTTTTAAACTTGGGCTCTGGGAATTGAACTCGGGTCCTTATAATTGTAGTACAAACACTTTGCCAACTGAATTACTCCCCTAGCACTTTGAAATCTCTCTTATTAACTAAGCAGCAAAAGGACCATGTGTTAAAGTGGTATAATGTAAAGGGATGAAGTGTGTAGATTCTGGAAGGAGCTCTGAGCAGGGAACAGTCGTAGGTTTTCCCTTAGCATCCTTTGGTGTCACAACTTAGGCAGACATGTATCTTTGCTCTTCTCTGCTCACACATTACCTCTGCACAGTGCTTTCTTGAGAACTGACTACATAGCCCTTCTGACCTTCTCTGCTCTTGCCTGGCCAGTGTATAAAAGGCAGTAGATGTGGAGCTTGTTTCTGTGTTTGGGTGAGTGTGTATGTGCATGTGTGTCTGCATATGTATGCATGTGTGTGTGGGCCAGAGGTTAACATCTGTTTTTTGTTTGTTTGTTTGTTTGTTTGATCACTCTCTACTTTGTTTTTGAGGCAGGGTCTCTCAGTGAACCTGGAGCTCATTAATTGGCCAGAGTGGTTGGCCAGCAAGCCCCAGGAATTCTCCTGCCAGTACTTCCACATTGCTGGAATTACAGGGCCATGCTGTCAGAATCGAGATTTTTTTTTTTTTGTGTGTGTGTGTGTATATATATATATATATATATATATATATATATATATATATATATATGTACGTATATGTATATACACACACACAAATATATATACATATATATGTGTGCATATATATCCCTACTTGTGTGGGTACATGTACCATTGTTTGACTGTCAGAAGAAGACAACTCTCAAAAGTCATTTCTCTTCTTATAAGCTGCAGGTCTGAACTCAGGTCCTCATGCTTGCATAGCAAATACTTGAGTCATTGAATTTTCTCTCTAGTCCCTAGATTGTAGCATATCTTTCTTGCTCATCCAAGTGTCTAACACCTTGCGGAAGAGAATAAGGCGGGTATACAGTGCAGAACCCAAAACTGTTTTTGTTTTTTTGTTTCAGTAGGCACATCAATGAATGAGTGAGCCTTTATTTACCATGCTTTGACTTATGGCCAATAGTATCTTACCTTCTCAAAGTAGAGCCTGGACCAGAAAACCCTTTAAGTTCTCATCACATTCTGAGAATTCGTGATTTTTAAACTTTTTTTTGTATTGCTATTATCTTTTTTTTTGTTTATTATTTATTACAATTTGTTCATTATATCCTTTTCAAAAGTATGTAACATGCAGCTATGAAGTTAGAATTGTGTTTCTTTTTTCTGTAGGTGAATTACAGAGGAAGATTGGCTTGAAAGTACTTGAGATGAGAGGGAACGCAGTTGTTGGGTACTTGCAGTGTTTCGATCTGGAAGGCGAGTCTGGGTTAGTGGTTCGAGCCATAGGAACTGCGTGTACTCTGGATAAATTAAGTAGCCCAGCAGCATTCCTTCCTGCATGTAATTCCCCATCCAAAGAAATGAAGGAGTAAGTATGAATCAGTGAAACTGTTCTCTGGAGGTTTTTGTCTTTTACTTGCAAGTTTCATTTGTTCTCACATTTTGGTGGCAGTATTCAACATAGTTTTTACTTGTGTGATTATTCTTAAACTGTTCCAGATCCTTAGACGTCATCTATCTAAAGCACAGACTCAATATTCATGTCGTGTGTGGACTCTGCTTTCCTCTCTAGGAGACGCTTATATCCAACTATGTTTACTGTTGGCAGCTTGTCTTATACAGGGTTCTCAGCCTCCCGTGTCCATCATGTGCAGGCAGTTCATGAAAATAAAACATTGGGTCTTATTAAATAGTAATACTGGGGTCTTTGTAAGGCAAGGTGGGAAAGTTTCTCCCCACTCTTCTCCTCCCCTTTTCTCTCTTTCCTTCCTTTCTCTCTCTCTTCTCTTTTCCTGCCCCTCATTTGAGGTTGGTTCCCACTTTGTTGCCCAGGCTGACCCAAAATTCTTGGGTCAAGCTTTGCTCAACATTGTGCATGCTTAAGTAAAGCCAGGTAGTAAATATTTTAGACACTGGCAGTTTAGACTAGCTTTATTTATAAAACACACACACAGGGGAGAGAGAGAGAGAGAGAGAGAGAGAGAGAGAGAGAGAGAGAGAGAG